ACTTATCTCCTGATTATACTATTTTTTTTTTAATTTTTATTTAACTTACCTTTATTAATTCAATTATAATATTGCGAATTTCGGATTTTTATCCTACGTCCTTACGGATCTCTTAATTTATTGCGTACCCTTCCGTAATTAACTGTACTAAATATATTTAATTTACCTTTCTATTATATTTTACTATTTTTCCCTATTTTTAATCCGGATCCTCTTTATCTTCGTATTATTTTTCGAAGTATATCTTTTCTTTCTATTTACTATTTAATACTTTATTAAATATCTATTTCTTAAATTAAATCCTATTCTTTTCTTCGGTTAATACTTCCAATACCAACCTCCTATCGTTCCCCGCCAATACTAATACTATTTATTTATAATCGTCGAAAATAAATAAATTATTAATATTATAAAAATAATTTATTTCCGTATTTAAAGAAAGTAAATATATACGGTCGTACTATTATAATATCGCTCCCCCTCTTTCTATTAGAGTTATTAGCGGTAGTGCCTAATATAGAAAACTATCCTCTATTAATCCCGGCTCCCTAAATATATACCCTTCTCCTAGCTTCTACTTTCCTACCTTTAATAATTTATTTATAATTTATAAATCCGTTTCTAATAAAATTCTTCCTATTATTACTATTATAATTATATACGCTGTAATATATTATTAGATCTTTTTCGCCCTCCTTAATTCTATTAAATATAATATTATAGTTATTTTTAATTTTTCGGGTTTGTAAACCTATCCTAAATTTAAATTTACTCCCCGTTTTTTATAATATATTCTTCTTTATATTGTATTATAACTTTTATTTTATTTATTAATAATATATATGCTAAATCTGAATCGACTTTAATATCTTCCTTTTCGTCCTAGTAGTCGTTTTTATCGAAATCCTTATCATTACTCTTATCTACCTCTTAAATCCTTCTTAATTTATCCAATAGTACTGCTATTTTTTTAATCCTATTTTTACCTCGTATAATAATAATCCGATAATAAATATCGATAATTCCTTCAATATAATAAATTTAAATAGCGTTTAATAATAAATTGTAAATAGGGTTCTTTCCCGGGGTTATATATATAATAACCTTACTATAATACCCTTTATTATTAAAGGAAAATATATATATTTATTAATCACGACCGAACGCCTATCTGCTATTATAATCCAATAAAGTATTTTAATTCCTTTTATTATTATATTATACCGGTTAGCTGTATTCTTATTAATTATATTTATTAACGTTCTTATATTTATTACATATTTACTAATTTCACTTTTTTTTATAAAATTTTAAATATATCCTAGGGATATATCTTTCAATTAATTTTTTACGTTTTATTCTGCGTTAACGACTTTATCTAAGCCTATTTTATTAATTATAAGTAATCGAGTATATTTCGTAACTTTCTATCCTTAATATACTACTTATTATAATCTGAATTCCTAAATTATTCTAGCGTATACTTATAGGGCTCGATCGTATATTTATATAAAGGATTAGTCCGGTTTAACTATTTAATTCTTTATTTATTCGCCTATATTCTAAGGATTATAAAAATCGGGGCCTATATTTCGGATTGGAATAATATCGTATTGTATTCGTTCCCCTTTTGTATTATTATATATTTATTTAAACCATTTATTATCCTTTTCTAATTCTTCCTTCCATTTTACGTTAATCTCCTTTAGTACCAGATAATATATTAGTTCCGACGGTATATTATATATATACATATATCTTCTTCCGTAAATTCTATATTTCGTTTCCTCTTTAAATTTAATTCTATAAATAACGCCGTAGGAACCCGACTAATAACTGTTATTACCCCTATTCCCGTCTTTTCCTCTTCTTTATTTAAAATCTTTTCTACTTTTTTAATCAAAATCGCTACGGTTTGTAATTTATTACCCTATTTATCCACCGGCTTATAATTTAAACAACTTAACATTAGCTTATTAATTATAATATAATCCGCGATTTCGTTATATTTATATTTAAGTTGTAAGGGGATTAAATATTTATAGATAATATAGGGTATTAAATAATTAAAATATTTAAAGTCAGCCTTTTTCCGTTAATAATATCCTTTTATATTATAATTACTATTCTTTATATTATTACTATATTCTACTTTAAGATTAGCCTTACTTTAATTATTAGTATTATTATTATACCTAATTTAGTTATATTAGCCCGCCGGTCCAAAACCTAATAATATACCTATTAAATTACGTTAAACAACGGGAATTTAATTAGCGGCCATAAATTATACGCCTCCGGGGTATCCCGGAATAAGGAGTAGTATAGGGTATAATTGGGTTATATAGGCCTATCCTAATATCGCGGAATTTATTTACTATTATTATTATATTTAAGAGAAATATAATTGCCCGAATAATACATAAATATAATTACCCAATCTAAAAGTATAGGAGGGCGGCTAAAATATAATTATTGGAATTTATTTACGAAATATTATTTTATTAAGGGCCTTTAAAAAGTTAGTCTATAGTAAGATTACTATTATTTAATTTAGCGCCTATTAGTTCTATAGCTTAAAAATTATTTAAAAACGGGTTCGCTTTATTATTTAGCCGAATATCGTAACCGATAATAATTTCCTGTACGTTATTCAAAATATTCCTCTTAATTAATTAATACCTTAAATCGATTTATCCTACTCTATAGAATTGGTTTCCGACACGTTCTAATAATTTAATATTAATCGGGTCGCGGTTATTAATAAATCAGGTATATAATCGATTGCGGAATTCTTTAAACTATAATTTATTATACTTATATAATAATTTAATAACTCTATTTATATAAGTTTAAATTATTTTGCTTACTTTATAACTAAATATATTAATTTAATATTTCATTTTCTAATTATAATCTATAATATAGAATTTAAATTTTACTAAGAATTATTTTTTTAACGGCTTTTATTTGTAATTAGCTTTAAATAATTTAAGATACTATCCCTCCTTTGCGGTACTTCGCAATCCTTTATAGAACGTGATACAATTTTTACGAATCTTTTCTTCTAAGGTAATAATAATTAACCAGTTAATATAAGTTTTAATATTTTCTAAATATTCTTCCGGGTTCTCTTTAGAAAGGCCTAAAAATATACCCGAAAACTTCTTTATAATTAAGTATAGGGGTTCAATAAGAAGAGTAAAGGGTTATGAAGTTAAGGATAAGTTAGACGCTAGTATAGGTATAATAATAAACGTATTTAATATATAAATAAAAAGTATTAATATACTATTAAATAAAAATTAGGTAATTACTTTTTAAATTGTAATTAAATCGAAACTTATATTACGCAATTATTAAAAACGATTAATCTAAAATAAAAATAGTATAGCGTTGGGGTCTATATAATTACATATACCTATCCGTAATTTGCCGTATTATACAATGTATATATATATATATATATATAATAAATAATAGAATAAAATATAACTAAATATAAGTAATAAATAAGAGTAGATTATTCTAATATACTATTAGAATTTGTATTATTATAATTTAAGTAGGTAAAGTAAGTAAGATATATATATATTAGGAAGAAATAATTAAATCTTAGTACGGGCACCCGAATTTTATTAGCTAGACCTAACTGTTCTATACCTTTCTAATTATATATTACTCTATATATACTTATCGAATAGTAAACCAGTATTCTTTTTAGTATTATAATTATAATATAAAATTTATTAATAATTTATTGATAATTTAGTATATATTTTCTAAGTAAATATGAATTCTCTACTTTAATTTTCTTCCGAATTGGCAAATCTTTACCTAAATTAAATTCTCTCCGTATATACGTACTTACTGTATTATTAATTCGGGGACCTAACGGTTATAATCGTATAATTATCGGTCTCGAATTATATTCTGGTAGAAATTATGTTTAAATATAAATAATAATAGTTACTGAATAATAAAATAATTAAAATAATATAATTTATATATATTCGAATAACGCGTTACGTTATTAGGTAACCTTCGCTAGCCGCGCCTCTTCGTATCGTACCGCAGTAGGTTCGTACGTTGTTCAATCGTAATAATAATTAAATAAAGCGCATTTTAAAGTATCCCCCTCAATTAATATAATACTGCCTCCTAGGTAGATTGCCAATACAATCCGTACTGGATTGCTATAAAAAGTTCATTAGGGGTATAAATAAAGGAATATAATTAATTAATCTACTAATTAACGGTTTCTTACCGCGATTATAGATTAAATACCATAACCTAGAGGTCCGTGCGCACATGCGTGCCTTCCAATGTTCCTCTAAATCCGACGGTCCCCCGCAATGGTTACCCCCAAAGGACAACGACCTGCATTTCAGCTCTTCACCGAGACCTCCGATTCGAACCTTCATTACTTCTACTGTGGTAGTCACCACCTCGTCGGTAGCAATTGCGGACAGCAAAGCGATTCGAATCAGGCTCCGGCGCATACAGGAGATTAGAGGTGACTACCAGCCACTATTTGCCGCCCAACATCAGACTGGGCATTTCCCAAGGCACCGATATCTACCTACCTGGAACCAACACCGACCTTGAAGCCGTTTATCCGTCCCCCTTTCCCCTTTTGCTCTTGGCATAAGGGTTCTGTTCCCGGTCCAGTGACCACTTCTAGGGCGCAGTCGCTGTCAATACAAGGGCAAAGAACACTAAAAAGAACCTTACTGGGATTGGCGTCCGCCCAGATTGTGGCTGTGTCTCGCTTATAAGTTGAGACCGTTGGACCTGTACCAGGTACGACAACATCAATACTACCTCTACACTACAACCAGCCGGAAGGTTGCCGTGTTTGGACGACTTTATCATCTTGGCAGTCGATAGTATTGACATTCTCGTTTGCAGGCTTTATTCACAAACCACTCACGATCAGTCGTGTATTTCTCCCCTACCTACAACCAGCCTATTGAATCTACTTCACAGCCCCAGGGGCAAGATCACAAGCCGACATCTCATCGACAAGAAGTTCTCTAGGCTGAACCTGGAAAATCGGGCATCAGACTACTAATCACGAGCGAGGAGCAAAGCCCTGTGATATCGCCATCGCTCCGCCTCGACTGCCCTGTGTTCTCCTTCTCAGATTCCCAAGCACCAACCTCTGATCCGGGTTGCCGGCACCGAACCGGTTGACGTTCGCACGAACATATTTCAGTGAATATCGGGCTAAAAGGCATCAAGACTTTGTCTGTTCACCATTAAAAAACGACATTCCATCAAGATGTCCAAGTCACCTCATCTTCCCGACGTTGGGTCTTCCCAGCCCGACCTCCTCCCTCCACCCTCCTACACCGAAGCCATCGGGTCTCCCTCCGGCCCCTCTCAATCCACCACTTCCTCCGTTCCGATCCCCATCCGAACAGGCGAATCCCCTCTAACCACCCATCTCCGCACCCTACCATCACGCCTCCGTTCCGCTCAACACTCACATTCCACGGCCCAGTCCTCCCGCGACGCTTTTCTCGTAGCGCAATGTGTACCGCACATCGAGTGGTTCATCGAAGATGTCGTGAACTTGCCCAAGACGCCGAAGTTGGCCGAGTTGGTGCTGGTGCCGACGGAGGGATTACCGGGGGTGGAGTCCTCGGGAGAGGAAACCTCTACGGGAAGAGAGTTGGCGAGGAAGAGGGAAGCGAGGGATGATAAGGGGTGGGAGTTGGTTGGGGAGAAAGAGCGAAGGCAGGAGGGGGAGGTGGTGACGGTTGTTTGTGTTTCTGCTGCTCTTGAGCAAGTTGTGACGGACGAAAAGGGGAGGACGGTGGACCGGAAGGGCGATGGGAAGGGTTCGGGTTCGGGCTCGGGCTCGGCCCGGCCGAGCGATTACAGTTTCGGAGAGTGGGGCAGGTTCGAGACCGAGACATCCTCCTCCTCTTCTCGCTCCCAGTTGGGACCCGAGGAAGCATGGAACTGGTTCGCTACCCCCGTTCTCGCTCGCCGAATCGCCTCGCTACTTCGTCCCGAGCCAACCCTCGCCCGCAAAACCGTCCAAGCTGCCGTCGAGTCACCCAAGTCCCCGACTTCCCCTTCCTCCAAGAAGTCCGGCTTTGGTAGCTTCTTCCGCAGATCTTCCTCCAAGTCTGAGCCGCAGACACCAACACCGACGGAGCGGGTCATAACGCCTGTTAGGCATGGTGCAATGCTGGAGGAAGATAGGATTACTATGACGGTTAGGGCGGAGGAAGTCACGTTTAGGAGGGAGAACGAGTTTGGGTTATGGGAGAGTGTAGGGGGGTGGGGAGTTGTTGTTTCCATCAAGGTGGGGAGGTTGTAGAATCGGCTGTGTCTAGCTCTAGGTTTATAGTCGAAGCTAGTACTACGGTATAACCGGTAGCAGAGATACAAAGGACAGGGCTATTGTGGACGGCGGAGGTTAGGAACGATAAATACATCAAATAGAATGCTTACTCTAGAGGTACTCACTTACAGCAATACAAGGTACCGTACCCCTAAACTCATCATCGATGTTTCCACTACCGTAGATGCTAGTTTAAAACTTGGGCTATACGATAATTTGTCCGAGTTGGTTCGTCGTCGGCACACTGCGATCTTTCCGACGGAACCGGATCATTTTACGGTACAACACTCCCACAATGCCACCTCCCATCACTAGCAGGTATAATTCCATAACTCATCACTCATGATCATATCCATCACTCATCAATATCAGGCCTCTCCCTCCCGCCCGACCAACCAAGCCCTTCCCTTCAAATCCTCAATGACACTATCCCTCATCCACCAGCTATTCCCTAACGCGACTCCATAGCCAGAGCCCTCACGCAACTCATCCCAGTTCGGCAAACCATGATCCTTCTCCTCTTCGACAGATGCCTTCTTCCCTTTGCCTTTGCTCCTGGTCGTGGGTCCGTGCCCTGCATGTGCTGCTCGGGCTTTAGCCTTCCCCTTCCCAGTTGTCCGGCCCGCTGTCGCAATATCCGCCGCCGGTGTTTCGGGCAATGTACCCAACGCAGGTAAAGCGGCAGAAGCAGGGGACTGAACAGCCAGTGATTGCCGCCGTTCCATCCATTCAAACAACAATCGGAGACCCAGGAGTTTCTCTCGGCTCGGCATGCCACCTCCGGTCAGATCATTTTCAAGCACAAGACGGGCATCGACGAAGGTCGTGGCGCCTTCGCCTTCGCCAACGCCGCCGCCGGAGCCGAGGCGGTCCATGACCACTGCTCTTTCAGCGTGGGTCAGCTTTGCCAACTCTCCAAGCTCGCTGCCCATGCCGTGGCCATTAGCACTGGCAGCATTGCCACCCGTGCCACTCGTGACATCCAGTTCACTACCCTCAGCACCAGCACTCAGTCCAAAAACCCACTCAAACGGATCCCTCGACTGCCCATCTTCTGCAAGCGGACCCACCCCTCGTCCCAAAGCACGCAAAGTAGCAGGAAAGGGTGCCTCAAACGCTGGCCTTCTCCTCAAACACAGGGTCTGGTTCTCCTTAAACTGTTCCACCAAACTGGGGTTCGTTTCGAAGTCGATGGTCAGGTTCCAGTAGCCCTGCTGCCCAGCATCCGTCGTGACGCGTAGGACGTCGTCTAGGGGTGGTAACAGGCAAGGGGTTTGGCGGCGGATGACGACACCCTCCGATGAGGACTCGAAGAGAGAGTCAATGGCAGAGTTCGCCGCGGCGGCGCGGGCTGATGGACTGTTGCGTCTAAGGGAGATGAGAACAGGGACGTTCAGACTCTGACCAGTGGCCCCATCCTTGGCTACAAGGCAGCGTGGGTCTGTTGCCAGCACCCAAAAGTGGCGGAAGGCTTGCAGGTGAGCTCTGTTATCCTGAACCGTTGCCGGAAAGATGGGATAGAAAGCAACAATCAGCGCCGCGACGGCCAGGTCGCTGTTCCCAAAGGTAGCGGTGCCGTAACCGAGGAACAAGGCTCCGATAGCCATGTGACAAGCCATATGACTCCCGTAAGTCGTTTCCTTGTCATCTCTCCCATGAAGCGCCCGGAGCCGGCGGAGAATCACCAGATCGCCGGTGCCCGCCATCACCGTCGCGCAGGAAAGGGCTAACATGTCCATGCACATGCGCGCGTTTGAGCGAGCAAGCTCCGCATCAAAGTTGCTCTTTGGCATTGAGACGAGGCGCATGAATTCATCGAGGTAGTGCACCAGCAGATCGCGGACCTGAATATTTCCTGACCCGGCGAACCGCAGGCCCAAAGCAAAACAGAGACCGGCGAGGATGGAAAAGAAGGGGAGGTCCTTGCTTTGTAGACGAGTGGTGGAGGTCAAGCGGTGACGAGATTGGTACTCCTGTGGAAGCCCTGTCTTTATCCAAGAGAAGGAAGGTGTGATGCCCTTCCAGAGGATGATATGCTTGGCCATTGTGCGGAGGAGTAGGATGTCAGGACGGACGTAGTCAAACTGCAGCACGGTGTCAGGGACGTCGATCTTCCGTGCCACGATATGATCCTCCGATTTCATAAAGATCAAGGCAACAGCAACAACAGCGGCGGCAGCGGAGCGGTCCAGGACGTGCACGAGTTCGACGCGCTTGGTGGCCGTGGCGATGGTAAGCAGCTTCTCGGTGAGGCGCATGTCGCGCAGGCCTTTGAGGTCATTGCCTTTGCCAAGGTTGATGAACCCTAAAGCGAAACCGGCGGCGAGGCGGTAAGATTCGTCACGGAGAGGGTCTTCTTCCTCGCCGTCTTCAACGTGCTCAATTTCCGACATCATGATTTCGCTCATGCGCCGGTGTTGGCTGTTGCAGTAAAGCAGACCGATGCCCATGATGCCAGTGGTTTGGGTGTGCTTGGAGAGGTTCAGTTCCGCCGCACCTCGGGGGAGCATGCGAGTGACGTGGACAGACAGCAGTCTGGTGATGAGAGAGTCCATGGTCCCGATGTACGAGGCGGCGAGACCGAGGAGAAGCCCGATCGAAGTCATGGTGTGCTTGGGGGTAAGGTACTTAAACGCCACCCACTTGGCCACTGACTTGAGGTGACCGTTCAGACCGAGCGCGAGCAAGAAGCCTGCGTGTCGGTTGCTGAGGTCCTGGCCGGGCTTGTTGTAGAGGATCCAAGAGGTGTCGATGGCTTTGGCTTGTGGCGATATCGCAAGCCCGCCGGCAACGCCCTGATGGAAGAAAGCCCAGTTGATCTTTTCTTCAGTGAACTGACTCTTGTCAACACTGACGGTATTGTTGGTAGGCCGGATGATGCATGCAAGATTGAAACCACTGATGTGATATTTTTGGGTGAGTAGCGGGTACCGCAAGGAGTAGTACAGCAAGCCACGTCCAGGTGGGATAGCAAGCGTGCTGGTCGCAACAGTGGTAACTAGCTCCTTTTGCTTCTCCAGGTACTCTGACTCAGACCACTCTGGCTTAGGATCAAGCCGGAGCACGCGTGACTTGCCCGAAGACAAGAGATTCTGGGCCTCATTGAGTCTCCTGTCCTCCCTGAACAGGGTACGAACAACCAGTTGCCTCTCCGAGGCATCAGTCTCCTCACCATGTTCTTGTAAGTCGTCCAAATGCTGACACAGCATACGAAAGTCCCATTTCGCCGTGTGTGAAGGTGGCTGAAGTTCCGACCCTATCGCTTTCGACATCTTGACTTGCTTGAGAATGGTGCTGACGTCGGTGCGGTTTACCAGCTTGAGCAGCTCAGTGGACCAAGACAGAGGAGGGTTAGGCTGACAGATAAAGATGAAGTCTTGTAAAGGCGTCAAGATGGCTTCTGGTAACGTCTCGAGGATTTGAGGGGTGAAACCAGCGGTATGCATGGCTGCTACTGCTTCGAAACGGTCCTTGGCTGTTTTCAGGAGCTCAAAGAGCTTCTTGAACATGAAGGTGCGTGGGGTCATATTACGCCAGGCCCCCTCCCTCGGACTGCTTGCACGAACGTCAGAGGTGGCCGTAGCGTAGACTTGAGGAAGCGTCAGGAAATCGGGGCCATCATCGGTGGTGAAATGCTGCCGGATCCAGGTTAAGACACAAGGGTTGAACACGGGTGGAGGTATAGCCAACTGGGCAAGAAAAGCTGCAAACATGTCAGTCAAAGGATTCTTGTGCCGTGGATCAGTCAACATACCTGAATCATCCGTGCCCAGATCTGCCTGTAGACCAAGGCTGTAGAGCTCCTCGTACTGCTGCCATCCAAGCCATCTCGCAAGCTGCCAGAGTAGCGCCCTAAGATCACTCTGACCAGGCGAGACTTCTTCAGGGGACAAGACACTCAATGTCTGTTCTTCCACGAGGAGGTGAAGCGCAAGCATCATGCTCCAGGCTGCCTTATTGCGACTGTCGCGATCTCTCTCGACGGCTGTTGGGAGGTAGCCATTAACACCAAACGCTGCCATGCCTTCGGCAGATGCAATGTAACTTTTTGCAAGCTCGACATGACGGGCCATGAAGCTCAGTGGCTGCGGGCCTTGGCTAGATGGGATAGTGTCAAGGAGGCCATCCTCCAGCAACCACTGCCAGCCCTTGTTCCGCATCCACGGTGCATCGGCAGATGCCACCGGGGTGGCGTATAACTCCATGGCTTCCCAATTACTGTTCGGCTCAAAAACACGGACGCCACGGCCGAGCCTGGCCAACGATATTTCGTCCGTATGCCCAAGGGCCATGAAACTCGCCAGCAACAGAACGACAAAGGACGACCATTCTCGGTCGGGAGTGGTTACTTCCTGTCGGTTCAAGACTCGAAGCCACTGTGTAGTATGCCACCAACCGGCCAGCAGTCGATCAGCATGTGAAGAAGGAAGTACACTTTTGCAAACGTCCAAGGCCTTGCGGACCTGGGAAGAGGATGGACAAAGTTTGAGGCGGATGCGATGGAATGCGCCGTCCTTATCTAGTAGATCAATGACTCCACGGGGAGAACTGTGGCATAATGCATCAATGCGGATCTGGGACAGGCGAATCCCGCCTGGCTTGGGGACCAACGATGCCGTCCTTGTTCTATGAGTTCCCGAGTAGCTGAGGTTGCTGACATGATCAAGCAGAAGGAGGGTCGCATCCACGGTGGTGAGCTGGCTCCATGGAGATTGCAAGCTCAGCTCTCTGCCACCAGCCTTGTCTTCGGAGAGAATGAGGATGGTCTGCTCGTTTCCATCTGAGATCTTGCACGAGTCAATGACGTTTTGCGCCCTTCGAAGTTCGCTGAAGACCATGGGAATCTTGGAGAAGAGTCCTGACGTGGCTGGCTCAACAGTTGATCCCGGGACGGGATGAGGAACGTGCAGTGTTAGGAGCTGCAATCTCTTGTCGACAACATCCTGGATACCAAGAAGAATCTGGACACGACCCTGCTCGTCAGTAGCAGTAGGAGGACCGACGAGGATGAACACTTTGGACTGCGCCTTGACTGGCTTGTTGGCCAGGGAGTAGCGGACGTTGGCGTTGTCCATGGGGAAACTGTGGACCTTTGTGAAGAGCATCTCGTGGGTTAGTCCTTCGAACTCATGATCATCCAAGCCCATATTGTGGAAGCCCTCGAAGTCACCACCAGCACGGAGCTCCTCGAGTAGAGAGTCGACAGGTGCCTCGGCTAGGCTGTTGAGACCATGGTTGAAGGAACCGCCAAGATGTAAACCGCCGTAGGCACCGCTCATGCGTGTCCGTTGACTGCCTAGTGAATCTCCCTTTCTACCGCCATGCACCGCATGTAGTGTTTGCTCGGAGAAACTCGCCCTCTCTTGGGATGCGGACAAGTCAGCTCTGGCCAACAGAGAGCTTACTCGACGAGACTGTCTGCGGGCAGCGTCATCAGTTTTCTGGGGGTCTAGAGAATTCAAAACACCCTCGAGCGCCCGTCCCTTGTCCTTTTCTTTTTCCCGCTCATCGATCCTGACGCTTTTGCGAGGCTTCTTCCCGGGCAGAGGAGCACCGAAGCTATCTCTGATGGAGGGGTGGACGGGGGTGCTGGCACCGCTAGGCATGCCAGGAGCCATGGAACTGCGTCTGCGAGTCGACTTGACGGGTTTCTTCTTCCTCTTGCCAATGAAGGGATCCTCATTTTCCAGAAAGGTCAAGCGCCAGACGCTGTACATGCTGTTTTCTCTGTTAACGGTAACAGCAATGCAGGCTTCGCTTTGTGAGGCAGAGGCATAGCCGGGTATCTTGATTGCTTCGACATGGACAATCTCTTCGGCTGAACTGAGGAAGTTGGAAGTGGGAGAACCTCCTTGACGTCTCTTGTTTGTCTTTTGCTTTTCCGGATGGGTGACTACCAAACCGATTTCGAGCAAGGGATCTGTCAGACACACAAGACGAGGCCAAGGACTGTCGGGGGTCTCCATGGGTGGCTGCCACATGTTTTCCAATGTGCTGCTCAGCTTTAAGGGGAGCGCCTTGGGTCGCCCAAGGCCTTCGATGGAGAACTCGGCACCGGTATGGCTGAAGATGGACGAGGGCTGTGACGAGACGAAGGAGTTCGGCGGAACCTTGGGCAGTCGCAAGGTCACGGGCAGGGTGTTGTTCGCTCGCTGTTTCCGTTGAATGATGACGCCAATTGGAGCGGCGCAGGCCGACTCGACCTCGAAGGGCATGTGGACGACATGGCTGGTTCCGGAGAGGAAGTAGATGTGGGCTTGTGTCTTGAGGAAAACGACGAGGGCTCGGGCGAGCAGTGGCTTCGCGTCATGTTTCTCGGGTTTGTTTCCGGTCGTGGGTTTCTCGGGCCGCGAAGAGGCAGCATTGACGATGGGGTGGGAGTCTGTCGAGGTAGGGAAATAGGTGAGGAGAGCCTGGGTGACTTTCTCGTTCTCCATATCGAATCTGAAGCTCTTTCGAAAGATGCCGCCGCGGGACCAGATGACGCAGGTATCGGTGGTCAACAGCTCGTCTTCGCAGTCGGCGTGAGGCTGTCGGTCGACGAATATCTCCCAAGTGTAGGACGAAGAGGGAGGGTTCGGAGGGAGGAAGCCTTCGTCAATGGCATGTCGCAGTCCGATGGGCTGGTGAACTCCCAGCGAAGTGGCCGCCGCCATGATGTCTGTCTGTCGTCAAATCACTTGGTCGTTTGCTGGAGAGGAAAAGTCAAGCCATTTTCTGGATTGGCACATAACCGAGTGCGGACTGGGTCCAGGCTGAGGTGTTTGTGATCGAAGCTGGCGCATTTGTCTTTTTGTTTTGTTTGGAAGGAGAAGTCAAGGTGGGATGGAAGCTCCTGTCAATTGCGCAGGGCAACCGCTCTCAGCAGCGTCAACACCACTGGAAATCGCGTCTGATAGCGCTGTGAGACGCGACTGTCCCGCACCTGCAGCTCTCCACAGATTGGACTTTGGATGGTCTGTGCGCGCTGTACCCCTTGCGGATCGCTCAAGTGACACATTTGCTAAACGAATATGCCAGGCCTTTCTCTTTGAGTGAGCTTCTGGCATAAGCGTTTACCACTCACCTGTGGACCTGCCCTTACTGACGTAGCGGTCCTCCACTCCGTTCCCCGGCTCTGGAACCGACCGACAGCGACAACCAACACTTGCAGCAGCGATGAACGACTAGCCCAGGCCTAGGAACCCAACGAATAGCGCCTTACCACAGTAGGCGCAACTCCATTCTCAACACTTCCCAACAACTTTGCGATCAATCAGATAGCTACCTCTACGCCATGATACAGCAGACCCGGCTCCAATCAACATGACGCAGGTCCCGCCGGAGACAGGCGACTCTTCCACGGCAAACACCACGGCCGACACCACGCCCGCCACCACCATCGTGACGTCTCCCAGGGCGCGGCCCAAGCGATCCATTGGCAGCACCATTGGCACCACGACTCCCTCGACGGCGACGGCGACAGGAACGGGAACGGGCACAGATTTAGAGGAAGGGTCTGAGGACGATGGGGACCGCCAGGATGAAGAAACCGAGGATGACGACGAGGAAGACGACGACGACGAGGAGGACGAGGACGAGGAACCAAGACTCAAATATGCCCGACTGACCCAACACCTCGGGCCCCTGTATCGCAATGGCGACGCGACAAGCGCCTTCTTGACGGCTGGCGACAAGATGGTTAGACAGACGGACCCCATGGCTATCATGATCAACACTTGCTGACTTGTGTCCAGATAGTAGGAACGCATAACGGCAACATCCACGTTCTCCAACTGCCCGCCTTCCAGTCCCTACGCGTCTACCACGCCCACGGCGCCTCCGTCACCAGCCTCTCCATCTCGCCCTACCCACCACCTCTCCCTACCTTCGACCCGAAACCTCTCACCCGAGTCTTCTCCCAGACAAACAGCCCTTTGCGCCCGGGAAGCGCCTCCGCCGAGAGCCACCACCAGACTAACCCCGCCTCCGCCGCTCGCAAACGAGACGCCCAAGCCCATGGAGTCCCCAACACCCCCTCCAACAGCATCCACATCGCGACATCCTCTATGGACGGCAACATCTGCGTCCAGTCTCTGACCGATGTCAAGGACGTCACCCTCCGCAACTTTGCCCGACCTGTACAAGCCGTCGCCCTCTCCCCCGATTACAAGAACGACAGGACCTATCTGTCTGGTGGTCTAGCCGGACAGCTCATCCTGACTGTCGGCGCGCCACAGGGCAAGAGTACGGCCACTACGACAGGAGCCGCTGCTCAGGCAGCAGGATGGCTCGGAAACATGGTGGGCGCAGGGTCCGGCAAGGATACCGTTTTGCACTCGGGTGAGGGTACCATCAATACCATCAAGTGGTCCCTGTCGGGGAAATATGTTGTTTGGTTGAATGAGCATGGTATCAAAATCATGCGGACGAAGCTCCATCTCGAAAGTGCCGATCAAGAAGATGCATGGAAACGAATCGGCCACATTGATCGGCCGCAAACAGACGAGTGGGATACCATGGCCAGCGTCTGGAAAGGCCGTGCCGAGTGGATTGACGAGCAGTCCATCGAGCCTGATGAACCGGGCAAGGGTCAAAAAGAGGTGCCGGCTTCGCCTGCGGCTGCTATCTTGAAGCAACAACACCAAAGGACTGAGAAGAAGATTGAGAGATTGGTTGTAGGATGGGGAGGCACAATCTGGTTCATTCACGTTCATCCCGGTGGCATGGGCGTCGGCAAACACGCTGGGGAAAGGTCCGCTGGACGGGCAGAGATTGTAAAGCTGTGAGTGTGCTTTCTGGCCGTCTTGTTGACCAAACTGACCCGAGATTGCTACAGACTTCGAATGGATTGCATCATTTCCGGCATCTCGCTGTATACCCAAAACTTATTACTAGTGCTCGCATACTGCTTACCAGACGAAGACGAAGACTCGGGTCATAAACACACCGCATCAATAGCATCTGGAGGAAGCCAGCCATCAGGAGGGATCAAGCGCAGACAAAACAACCCACCACCAGAACTACGCCTCATCGACCTTACCTCCCAAGCCCAGGTTGACGAGGACGGATTGAGCGTCAGCCGCTTCGAACGCTTGACTGCTAGTGACTACCACCTCGGCGTTCTTCCGGCTCGCAATGTAGCCGCCACTGCAGCCAGCAAAGGCACCTTGGAGACTTTGGCTGGCTTCGGTACCGACATGCTCAACGTTGGTCTGACCGGACTCAATGTTGCGCTGAACCCCAAGTCCCTCTTCAGCTCAAGCGCCAGCATCAAGAGCAGGGAGAGCGACGAGACCCCGTCCAACTACATGGGGAGTATCAACTCGGCATTGAAGGGCGGACTCCGTACTGCTATCCATCCAAACCTCAACAAACCAGGCATCAAGATCTTCATCCACAGCCCGTACGACTGCATCTTGGCAACAAAGAGAGACTTGGCCGATCACCTTGGATGGTTGCTAGAACGCCAGCAGTACAGACAAGCATGGGAATTGGTCGACGAACATCCCGAGATTGTATCTGCGACTGACCGGGCATCCGAACTAGGCGGTTCCGAAACTCCCGACCGAACCCAAAGCGATGATTTTTACGACGAGACCTCCTCCGTCATCGACGGCATGCGCAGCCACCACTCGCTCGCCGAAAAGGAAAAACGGCGCATCGGCGAACTCTGGATCCAAGAACTAGTCGAAGCAAACGACTGGACTCAAGCCGGCCAGATCTGCGGCAAAGTCCTCGGCACCCCCGACCGCTGGGAGAAATGGGTCTGGACTTTTGCCGGCGCCAACAAGTTTGATGAGATTGTCAACTACATTCCCACCGAGCGAACACGACCACCCATCCCCGGAACCATCTACGAAGTCGTGCTGGGCCATTACCTCCAGGTTAGCAAGCCTCGGTTCAGAGAGCTGCTGGAACGGTGGCCGTCCGACTTGTTTGACGTTGGCACCATCACCACTGCTTTGGAGAACCAGCTCAAGTACCGCGATGTCCGAGAAGACAGCGTTGAGGATGGTGAAGTAGGACGGGACTGGCGCATCGTCATGGAGAGTCTGGCCAAGTTGCACGAGGCTAGCGGGCGGACCAAGGAGGCGCTCAGATGTTACATCAAGTTACAGGATGCGGATTCGGCGATGCGACTGATCAAAGATGCGCATCTGGCCGAGGCGGTGGCGGATGATATTCCCAGCTTCATCGGACTTCGCGTGCCGCAGGACAAGCTCCTCAAGATGTCGAAGGAAGATCTCGAGCAGGCTACTAGTGAGGCCATCTCGCTGTTGGTCGATGAGGCGCAGCATGGTTTGGTGAAGCCGGACCTTGTAGTGTCGCAGTTGCAGGAGAAGGACTTGAAGCTCTACACCTTCTTCTACTTGCGAGGTCTCTGGCGTGGGCAGGGCATCCACGAACACACCCATGAGTCCCTAGCCCGTCTGGTCCTCGACAGCCGCACCATGGTGGACCAGTTTGCCGACTTGGCCGTCCACCTCTTTGCCATCTACGATCAACCACTGCTCAACCAGTTCTTGAGGACATCCACAGCTTATGCCTTTGAGAAGGTTCGTCCCATCTGTCTCCCATATTTCCTTGCCCGTCATTTACTGACCCCATCGCATCTCAGGCCGCCCAAGAATGCGAAACCCGCAACTACATCCCCGAGCTCGTCTACCTCTACTCCAAGACCGGCCAGATGAAACGAGCGCTCTACCTCATCATCGAGCGCCTCGGTGACGTCTCCCGCGCCATCGCCTTCGCCAAGGAACAAGACGACCCCGACCTCTGGGAAGATCTGCTCGAGTACTCCATGGACAAACCCAAGTTCATCCGCGCCCTGCTCGAGGAGGTGGGAACGGCCATTAACCCCATTACGCTCGTCAGACGGATACCCGAGGGATTGCAGATTCCCGGGCTGAGAGAAGGGATCAGGCATATCATGAAGGAGCATGAGATTCAGTATTCTATCTCGGAAGGCGTCAGCCGCGTGCTCAGAAGCGAGGTCGCAGCGGCTATGAACACGCTGCGGAACGGGCAGCGCAAAGGCGTCAAATTTGAGGTCGGCGTTAAAGCAGGAGGTGAACACGTTGACGTCCAGCCGACCGACATCCCTACGCAACCCGTAACCGAGAAACCTTCCTCCTCTGGCATCGCCTCCCCCGCCGCTCCATCCCAGCAGCCACCACCAACCCCGTCAACACCAACCCACCGCCGCCTCAAACCCGCTGCGAAGAAGTACCAAGCAGGCCACTGCGCCCAATGTCTCTCTCCCTTCACCACATACGAGACCGACACGCTGGTCGGCTTCGCTTGCGGACACGTCTTCCACTTGCCACATCTACTTGAAGCATTGAATCCGGGAAAGACGGTGGATGCCGACGTGTTGTTGGGAGGTATGGGAGCTGAGGAAAGGAGCGCGCATTTGGTTGGGGCGAAGGTGACGCATGCTCGGTTGTTGAGGGATCGGATTCTTGGGGGTTGTGTTGTTTGCAAGGCTGCCAAGGAGGAGGAGGGGGATGGAAGATGATGTAAGCGCGTTCTGGAGGAAAAGGAGAAGGGACGAGGGAAGAACATTTGCAGTGTGCATTCAATGTTGTGAGCGATGATTTACCCTTGAGAGGAAGTTTTGGTTAAAGGATGAGCATCGGGTTGAGGTTCGGTCTTCGTGGGAGAATGGATGAGAGGAAACGAGACGGGTTAGTACGCATGGACGGATGTGCGTGCGGACCGGGACATACGTTATGATTATGAATATGGATATGTTGATGACTTGGTACGAACGAACAAGCTTGTTTTCTGCCTGCACGTTTTCGTCTGTTCTCTGATTAATGTCGGCCTTCAAACTAATGATGTGGTGGCGTTTGTTAACATCAACATGGCGAATGTCAGAAGTAAGCTTCGACCAATCTTGCCAGGGTTGAGTTTGACTGAAGAAACGTTGACAAAATGAATCCAGATTGCCGAGTCCAACATCTACGACAATGAAATTAGAATCACACGAACGCTTATGTCTCTGAAGCATTTCTTGTTCGCTCCTGATATGAAGCTTTTGCCCCATGTCGATACTGCCGGATCACACCTTCCGACCTTATGGCACATCGGCATTTGTCCGGGCTGAGGGCTCTCGTTCATTGGTCTTTTCCAACCCGATGGAAGGTTCCATCATATCAACATGGATAACTCCACGCACGAAAAAAGGCAAGAGCTTCCGCGACGACCTCATCTATGCTCGGCACACCTGCAGTTGCCATGTGTCCCAAACTGGACAGAGAGGACTTGCAGATCTGGCTCCAACTCCCGATCATCGCCAGGAGTTTTCGGGGACATGACGGCTCGCTGCTATTGCAAATGGGTGTAATTAGAGTCAAGCAAGCAAAGGAAACCTGGTTTAGGTCAAGCCTGTCAGGCACATGACGAGGTTGATGGCTCGAAGAAGTGCTGGGCGCCGATATATAGAGCCAGGCACTGACTGTCCTGCTGCACAGTCCAACACCGAACGTCGTCAGGTCTCGTCACCACGCTTAACTTCAAGCTTGAGAACCGCCATCATCTAACGCTCTGGGGACAGATAAGCCAAGATGATGTTGAAACGCTTTCTGGTGACATCGGCCATTGTGTCAGGCATCAATGCCGCCGCGACTCTTCGCTTCTCATGCTCACATAACCCTCATCAATCCTACACGCACCCTCCCCTACACCTAACATCGTGAATCACGTTTTTACCCGCTAAATTTCGTATTTTCAATGCATACGAACATTTCATCTTGGTCAATTTTTTTCGCTCATTTTCACACGGCCATTTACACCCCTTTGCACGCCCGCATTTACACGTCGCATATCAACAACCACCTCAACGTACGTAAAGAGGGCTCGAAAGGCACAGCGACAACCCATTATAATACCTTCAAACTCTAAACTTTCCTCCCTTAGCAGCAATTTGGAGTTCAGCGAGTAGCCCAGCGAGTAGACTGTAGAGTGTTCAATTTGCAGCACATTGCACTAAAAACCATAAAAGTATCACGAGATTTGAGTTATGGGGAGCTACAGAATCACAAAGACGCTGGGACCCAGCTAGTAATGTAATACGACATTCAAAACAGGTAAGAATACCGCGAAAATCCATATTTGATATGACAGCTGACATTTGGCCGAAGAGGGTGCGTGTAGGATTGATGAGGGTGCGGAGAGTATTAATCAACTAAATCGACGCTGAGGGTCCATCCTGAAGCTGCACTTGGCCTTTACCTCAAGCGAGACGGTGATGGCAACGAAACCAACGCCACCGTTATACGGAAACTCGAAATCTTTGGACAGGAAGAACCCAGGTCCAAGGTCCGAGTGCGCGATCATGTCGCAGAATCTGTCCGCGGCGTTGTGCATCCGAATCCCCTCGGTATCTTCTCCGCTATGATAGCAGTTGAGCGAGTTTGTCCGCGCGTCGCCTTGCTCGAAGGGCGAGGGCAAGGGCGCGGGTGGGGTAGGTATGGACTTGATGGTTGTTGTTGTCGTCTTTGTAGAAGAGACGCGAGGACAGATCGTCCGCAGTTCCGCGCTATTCTCATCATAATCATCACCGCCTGGAGCTCCTGGCCTGGTCATATTCCCGAACCATGGCTGGGTGAGACAGGCTGGATCGGAGAAGTCAGTGAAAAAACATTCATCAACCAATGGGTTTTCAGGGAAGCCAAAAAATGCCTGGACAGGTCGCTTGGGCCAGCTTCCGGAGGGGGGCGCAGGGGCGTTGGGACCGATGGATGCCGGAGGCTTGGGGAATGCACCAGTGGCAGATGTTGTTGTTGCCTTTCTGTCATTGCCCGTGTAGACAATAGCAGGCCAGAAAGGTGTCGTTGCTGGCACAGGCCATATAGTCACGTCTGCACGTTTGTTCTTGTTCGCGGCACCCTGGTTTAGCATTATCGGCTCAAACACCCATTCTGTAACAGTCAATGGCGCCTGCGTGATGGTGCTTGTCCAGGTTCCTTGGCTGACAGTGATCAGCGGATAGTTGACAGTACTGGTTGCACCTGTCCACGGTGGTAGCTTGACATTGCAAGGAGGAGAGCAAGTGAATTTGGGTTGATCCATCTCCCAGATCGCGGGGTCGATCCAAATAGCTTCATCAAACTTCGTGGTGCCGTTACTACCAACATCGAGAATGCTGATTTGGGACCAGTTGGGGTGCGTGTCGACGTTGAGGTTGTCGATGGCCGGGATACCTTTGCCGTCCATGACAGCCATGTACTTGGCACCAATAGTGACAAGATTCTGGAAGCGGACGTTGGCGAAGTTGTTTTGGAGAAGCATAAGCGCCTTTTGACATAACTGCGTATCGATGCAGGTCTGCGCATATGTTGAGAACCACTGGATGATCGCGTGAAAATTAGTAATTGAAGTAGATGCAAGGAGCAACCACACGGGACGAAAATGGCTGTAGCTGGGTTATCACTTACAGTGTAGATGCCTGCACCAGCGACAAATATATTTGCCGAACCTGTCATGACCACAGACCAGGATTGGTCACAGCCACTGAATTCATTTCCAGCAGCACATGTATAATCGGGGTCCCCCGGCAAAAGGCCAACAACGGCAGCAAAAGGAGCTGGTGGTGGCGGAGTCGGTTGGAAGTAGGGCGATTCGGTTTGCAACATACCAGCGTATATGTTTGCTGCCTTGTGAAAATTGTACTGGTAGAACACGGCGTGCTCGGACGCAGTGCCGTAAAGCCTTTAGTCTTGAGGTTAGTCTCTTGGATTCCAGAGCTGTGATGAGAAGAGAAGATGTGCAAGCTTACCAAGTGGGTTTCGTGCTTTCGATCAAAAAGCCACGAGCAACATAGATAGAGGTCTGCACCATGCTATTCTTTCCGCTGACCAGATCAGGGTCACTGGAGGCAGGTAGGGAGTTGTTAGTCCAGCCAGTCACAAGAGATGGTACCTCTACCCTTCCTCATGTCGGGGGAACAGTAGAGCACAACTTACTCAAGCATGTGGTCGGCTCCCCAAAGCCACATATTTTCGAAGTAACCCGACGCCGATGGGGTAAGGTGCATCATCAGACTAGCAGCAGAGCAGCCTGAATTGATACCGCTAGTGACGGGAGGACACTCTGCGGGTGTCAATTTTGTTCCCGTCGCACCTCCTATGCGTACGTGGCAATCCCAAAGCCCGGCGGAGCCTTGTGCATCAGCTTGGATATTCCATTCGATGACAATCAGACCGGCTGTCGCACCGCGTGTCGTGAAAAGGAGGTCCTGCATTTCCACATTACCAACGTCCCCAGCATTTCCAACTTTGATCATGACCTTGGGATTGCTACAGTAGAGGTAGATATGAATCAGCGTTGGGACAGCAAATAAAGAGAAAAATACCTGTAACGTACCTGGCATCCGAGAAATACGAGCCCGACGCAACCAATTGGGACCATGCTTCGCCCACAATCTTGGTACCAGAGGGGATAGTGACAGTCGAGGTGAGAATGTATGATCCGGCGTCGACGAAGAGAATCTTGCCCAAACTTGCGTATAGCGCCGCCTGGAACGCTTGTGTGTCGTCGGTAGAGCCGTCACCTTTACACCCGAGGTCCTTTGTATGCAGGAACGTGGAAGTAGCTTGATCTTCGTACTGAGGCTTGGGGCGTTCAAAATAGTTTCCTTGGGGATCCAGAAGTGTCGAATGCCTTCGATAGTTTCCAATCTTCCCACCCGTGGAGAAAGTACGAGCCGTCGTCGATCCTTCATAGACAGGTCCAACGACCCACTGGTCTATTACAGGCGACGAAGCCAGAATCGTGGCGCCAGTGGTATCGGCTACAGCAACCGAGACACCTGAAAGGACAATGTTATCAAGTGCAATCCCTGTGCTGCCCTTTCCAGGAGTTGCTGTTATGGGATTGACAATGACGACAGTACCGACGTTTGTAAACGACGAGTCCAATGATTGAGACAGAGCCGACTATAAGAAAAGGGGAATTAGCATGATACCTATGAGCTGTAACTGAAGGTAGAGGTATGAAAAGAGTCTCACAGAGCCTTTGATGCTGTATGGGAAAGAAAGACACCAGATCCGAAGGGGCGAGAGAAAAAGAGGGGGACACTCACTGTTGCCAACGCCACCATCACCGACGAGCTGAAATCCCGTCTTCACATTGTTCATGGTGATGGACTTCCATACCCATCCCCAGTCCCAGATAACTTGGATTCCAACTGTGCATCCATTGAACTTGAGGCGTTGCGCAGTGAACTGCTGCTCGCCACCTTTGAGCCCGATTCCACCTCCGGTAAATGTGACATCGGAAATGCCTCCACCGCTGCCATTCTCCGCGAACAAACCTATCTGGGACGAGCCAGCTGCTGCTATTAACTCGACGTTTTGAAGGCTTGTGGCTTGAGCGACTTGGTAGTGGAGACAGGTAACCAAGGTTCCTGAAGTGACCTTTCGGATATCTATGACGATGTTTCGAATTTGACGGTAGAAATTGGCGGTGTTGACGTAGTATCTAGAAGGTAGAGAGTCAGTCTCGCATGTCCTGGAATAGACAATGTGGAATGCAGGTAGGGAGTGGTTATGAGGGTTGAGACGGATGCATATCCTGCAAGTGGAAAAAGGAGAGAGATTATTGGGGTCCGAATCATCACGTACTCAGGGTCCCCGCCATCAACACCCTGGCCTCCGTCCCCAGTATACTCATCCGTGGATAAGACACCTAGACCAACAAAGCTTGGAGCAGCGACGAGGGTTGGCCGGTTGTTAGCATCACCAATGACTTGTGTTCCGAAGGGCAGGGCTATGGTCGAGGATACTAGGTAGGTCCCAGGGGGGAAATACACGATGGCGTTCTTAGTCGTGGACCCATTGCATCCTTTGCCACATCGGGTGCTGTTTGTCCCCATGGCCTTACTTATAGCTTTTGTATCATCCTATGCACCGACGAGGGAGAGTCGTAAGTCAGCATAAGCACACATACACCAGTTAATACAACAAAGCGGGGTATAGTCGTGCGGATGAATGTGTGGGATGGGTTGGGCTTCTCTTTCAGCGCATCGAACTCACCGTGATACCATCTCCCACCGCTCCATAATCGAGCACATTTCTGAAGATGGCCTGCATTCTGGTTAACGGATGAAACATCCCGAATATCCGGGCAATCCTGACAACTCACATAGTTGGGTTCATCTCCCCAAGGCACGGTGCCTTTGCGAGCAAGACTGTGATATTGCATGTGAGCAGGCCATTTGCATTAACGAATGATTCAAACAAGACTTACCTTTGCATCCAATACGTCCCCGCGCTTGCCGTAGCCGCACGCTTCGTGACATTCTTCCATCCACCCACCGAGTCGGCCTCGGCTACAAGGGCTGCCGCTGCCGCGATTTCATCCGTGATATCCAGAAGCGGCGGTACATCCTGGTCAATGGATGCGATGTTTTGCTCACCTGCAACGCTACCTCCGCCGACAATAGTCCCGGGCCTCAAGCCATATTTGTTGCGAAGGGGCTGAGCCACTCGGGCCTTGTTCAGTCTTGACGAGTCGGCAAGCGCCTTCTTCACGATATTCCGTGCGGCTTGAAGTTCTTTGGCTGTCGATCTTTTGAGCAGCGGTGTAACGTTATGCTCTGGCATGCTCCGTGGCTGAGGAACGACTTTCTCTGGTAGGGTCCTGGGAAGCGTCGCGTCTCGGCTCCGTCTCGCTTGCTCTTCGGCCACCGCATCCTCCTGATTCCAGTGGGAGAAACGCTCCATACGAAGCATAGGAATCGTTTTACCCAACAGGTCCGACTCGGGGACCTGGACATACGTAGATATTCGCAGTTAGTTGACTCGTGCTGGCTTAATGAAACATACTTGGATCATGTGAACAATGTTGGAGCTCGTTCAACTTACATAGTTCAGAGTGACAGTCAGATTGGCGTGCACCACATGTTCATACCCTTCGCCCGCCTTGATGCGGGCCCTAAGCTCTGCAGACGTGACGGACCGGCCAGCAAAGGTACCCTTTTCTCCTGCTGAGCGTTTGTCCCGGTTCTGGTAGACGTACCGTTCTTCCTCCAGGTCATCAGCAGTCCCAGTATCCCGCATAACATAGACGCGAGCAGCTACGCCATCCGAGGGTAGAGTTTCGCGAACAAGAGTGAAAAGAATGATCGATTTGTTGGGGACAAACCGCGGATCGCTCTCGGCTGCACGTATGAGCTCCTCACGAAGACGTCCGTGAGCGGTTGCTTGCCCTATCGGTCGTACGGGTCAGCGAAAAATGGAACTCTTCTAATTTAAGGTATGACGGAACATTAAACGGTTCGCGATGGGTCCTACAATCTTGTTCTGCTTTGACTCTAGTCTCGCCAATCGGTTGACAGCGAATCGCGGCACACCGGGTTTGGGACGGGTTAGTGTTCGTCGGACCGTCTCCACCCTCAACCCTAATAAACACGTCAGTATCAAACGCGGGAACATTGAAGCCAATACCGAGTATTGCGTGGCAGGCTGTAAGACACCCGCACATTTTGGACGAGTGCTTTTTTTTGAGCCGATGGATTGATAACAGACTAATGACCACCACCCGTTGCATAGTCATCGAGCCTCTAAGAGCTTATGACGGGCTCTGCGGTCCCCCAAACAACAACGCTACCTGTCTCGGCACCAAATTTGGCCAGTGCTGTAATGCAAACACTTTCAAATGCGGCAACTCTCCGTGAGTCCCCCCTCGTCATAAATTGTCAGTCAATTTGGTTATGCCTAGGCTAATGCCCTATTCGAAATTTAGAGAAGACTGTGCAGACGGAACCTGCTACGAAGGCGCATGTGCAGGAGATTCTGTCTACACCACAGACGGCAATTGCGGCAGTGAGCATGGCTATAAGATGTGTGCTGGTGTATGGGGCGATTGCTGCAACGCAGCCGGAAGATGTGGTACTGGCCCTTCATTTTGCGGATACGGCATGTGCCAACTGGGAAATTGTTCCCCTAGTCCATCTTCATCGACAACCACCACCACGTCAAAAAGCTCAACCTCGACCTCAACCACCACGACCAAGCCAACATCCACCAGCAGCCCTAAAACCACCACCTCCAACCCCGCTACTAAAACGAGTTCAGCCACGACACCCAAATCGAGCACCGCGGCAACCACTACTAGCATGAAACCTCCTAGCACTACAATCCCCGGTCTAGCTGCTTTGCCCTCATGTGGCCAGACGTGCTTCAACAACATGCTTGCTCAATATTCCACCCTGGGATGTGCCGCTCTAGACGGATACTGTCTATGCAACAACGTCAACTTTAAGAATGGCATTCGCGATTGTTCAAACGGGGCCTGTGGAACTGCTGTTGGCAGTACTGTGATCGCTTTCGGAGATGCATATTGCTCCACGGCTTTCGCTACGCACATCGCCACGGCCACCGGCGTGGCTGCTCTGCCCTCTTGCGGTCAGACGTGCTTCAACAATATGGTGGCTCAGTATTCGGCTCTGGGTTGCGCTAGTCCCGCGCCGTCTTGTTTGTGCAAGAATGCCAACTTTGGATACGGCCTGAGAGATTGTTCAAATGGCGCATGTGGGACGGCAGTTGCTTCGAGTGTAATTGCGTACGGAAGTTCATATTGTGCGTCTGCAACCGCTATTTAAAGGAAGAGAAGTCACCGTGGTAGTTGGGTAGCGGAAAGGTAGTGGTGTGATGTGGAGGATCAGGAACATTGTGTGATATCCCATTTCTGGACATTGTGAATGCAAAGGATCTCATGTACTTCTACTCCAATCTGCGAACTACCTTCCTGTGTAAGACAAGATTTGAAATTCTGCTATATGGGTTTTACCACCTTCTCCTGCCACTAGCTGCATCGATATCACACACCTCCTAGTGCCCCCTACTCATTTCTTATTGCCCTTGAAATTCAGGTTCCTCCTCGGTCAATACCATTTTCCTTTGTCCTTTTTCCGTGTCCTTGTCCTCGTCTTCCACTTCCACTTATCCTTCGATTTTCTTCCCCTTTCCCTCTAACTCAGTTTCCCGTTCCTCTTGTCCTTCGGTTGTCTCCTCCTGTCCCTCGCCTCCAGGGTTAATACGAATACCCATCCCTCCAACGGGCACGTTCACCACATTCACCACATCACCACTACTTCCCAATGAACGCAGCATCGCGTTAGCCGCATCAATGCTATCTTGACTGAGCGGGCAATGGTTGCGGACCCATTCCGTCTTCTCTACCAACCAATGTGCTGGCTCATCGTCGTAAAAAGTTACCATCCACTCGAATTCCGGATGCGATGCGTCGCATTGATCGTACTGTCTGACGCCCCTGGCTTTCAAAACGTCGTCGCGCATACTCATAAGCCAAGTATGGACAGCTGAGGTGACGCATCGTTAGCAAAGATCCAGGACATGACAGGGAGGTGATTGAACGGCCAAGAAGCAAAAGGCAAACACAAAAAACTCACCACAAACATAATCCCCAATTGTGACAAATCCCCCTGCACCTCTTGGCGTAACCTTCAACCTCCTTCCCCACGTGCGCACCGGCCGATCCTCCCCGCAGCACTTGATCAGAAACTCCGTGTCAGAATCTGCTTCCCAGTTATAAGGATCCTCCTCCTTTGGGTCATCTAGCCACGGCCGGATGTCGTCGTCGAGATCGCCGTAGGTCACAAATTCGCCGTGTACTTCGCTGTGCCATTCGTGCGACTCCACCCAGTTCTGTTCCCAGCTGTCGAGGTCTACGGAGGCTACGGTCATCAAGGACGCGGGTGGGTCGGTCATGGGGAGGAGGGCAATGGGGTGGTAGGTGCCGGTGCTGGTGTTTTCGGGGTTTTGGTCGTCGGTTGCATCTGCCGGTTTGAAGAATGGTTCCAGGTGTCCTTCGGCACCGCTGTCGTTGGACATGACGGAAATTGCCGAGGGAAACGTGCCTTTGAACTCCCAAACCAGTCGATCAACTTCTGGAGAGAGGCTAACATGGGGCGGCAAGTACGGGCTTTCAAGCTCTTCGTACGACTCGCTTGGTTGGGGAGTTGCCTCTGTGGAAGTTTCCATTGTTGTTCTTGTGTTGAATGCACGTGTTGTGAGGTCTGGTTGGGAAGGGGATTCCATTGGAACCCGAGGGACAGGAAGTTGGTAGCTGGCGCGGAAAGAGATTGCAAATGGAAAAGCACAAGGAGGGAAAGGGAGCAGGTGCATGGGATATAAGTAGGTACCTAACAATAAGCTCAAGAGGGGTGGCTCAAGTAGGCAGGAGCTCAAGGTACCCCTGTCACATTTCCCGCTAAGCTTTCGCTACTGCACAATACCCGCCTACACATGCATCGTTCCTGGTCCTAGTCTCTGTGCCGGGTTGCCAGAGATTATGCCACCCGATTCTAACAACTTCCCCCAGATCTCTTTCATTCCTGTTCAATTGCACCTTCAACATCTACGAACACAACGTACTACGCCACCTCTCATTCTCATTTCCACTTCCCATCACCACCTTCGCCTTGCTACCTCTACGATGATGGAGGCCACACCATCACACCAGTCGGATGAACCTCTATATCCCTCATTCGAAGAACTTCAACGCAAAGGACAACGCGTTATGTAAAACTGGTTGTGATGAGACTGTTGGCATACTTGATCGTTCGTTAGATAAAGACAAGGAGGTTTGCGCCCCCATGTCTTCTGGCCCGTCGCATTCCCCAGCTTCTTTTCGTCACCATAGCTTAGAAAGACGGCGGGGTCCCGGCGCGCCACCATGCCCCCCGGCTCGCCGGCCCCAGCCTTCTCTAATATATCACTTCCCTCTATAATTTCCCTCCTTCTTCTTGCATGAATACCTTGTGACCTGTATCTTTCCTATCCTTGCGTCTTTTCGTTTCTTGTGTCCTTGCGTCTTTGCGTCTTGGCGTCTCCTGGCCACTCTTTCGTTTGTGATCCTGACCAGCTCCGACTCATGTGTAAGCCACGAAGCGAGGTCATTAATCTGGATATTCTCCCCTTCTCCCTTACATTTTGGACAATCGAATGGCTCTACGATTCTGTGATACTTATTCATATGCCTTGACAAGAGTGTACAGTCTCTTTCACGGTTAGGGTTAGGGTTAGGGTTAGGGTTAGGGTTAGGGTTAGGGTTAGGGTTAGGGTTAGGGTTAGGGTTAGGGTTAGGGTTAGGGTTAGGGTTAGGGTTAGGGTTAGGGTTAGGGTTAGGGTTAGGGTTAGGGTTAGGGTTAGGGTTAGGGTTAGGGTTAGG